CGAATCTTGTTCACTGCTCCTTTCACTTCCTGGAGTTTGGTAGCACATTATGTAAACAAATGGAGCACTGGCAGAGAAGCCTTTTTCAATCCTTTCTAGTGTGCTACATAATAACTTCTGAATGCCATTATTTTGTGAGTTCATTTGTAGACTGAACAGATCAATCAATACTGCTTCTGCCATCTTCCAGTCGATTTAAGGAGTCCTAAAGGTACCAGATATTGAATAAAATGCCTTCAAAGAAAAAGAGAACATTGTTAGTCTAAATAAGCAAAGATACAACTTATTATTTGTTGTTTAGTGGTTAGAGTAATTAACATACTGAAAAGTAATGTAATTTCAAATATATTTTCCATTGCATCCAGTATTCAGAGCAAAAGGAAACTAAAACTATGCCCGGGTAAAGGCGGCGATTCTAGATGCCTTAGACGTCAGCCCAGAAACCTTCCAGCAGCGGTTCTGGAGTCTGTCCTACACCCTGGGCACCTGACCCTGGTTGGTGGCCCAGGAGCTGAGAGACCTCTGGAAGTGGTGGCTGCAGCCCAACAGGTGGAACCCTGAGGAGCAAACTGAGCAAGTCATCCTGGAACAGTTCATCCATACCATCCCGTCGTGGGGTAGGGCTTGGGTTCTCCGCCTGCCCCCCATCTGTCACGGCGCAGGACAGAAAGTGGAAAAGCCCCACTGCAAAGCTCACTTGAAAGCCAGCCGCCGGAGAGGCCAGATGCCTGTGGCCTAGCTCTGGGGTGGGGAATGCCGGTAGGCCGCGGCTGACCCGAGGACTGGCCGGGCCAGCCGCGCATACCCCTCGCCAGCTACCCCAAGGAGGAGCTGCCCCTCCAACGGTAGCCACCGCCGTCACCCTCATGGGAGACTTCCTTGCGGCAGAAGCCCCGGTTGGACCGGCTACTCGGGGCCACCCTTCAGGGCTCAAGTGCCCTAACCTTGAGAGGAAGGCGAGCGCCCGGGTCGAACTGCGAAATCCTCCGCGGAGTCCGGAGCCCCATTATAGACGTCCCGAGGGACCCACTCGCGTGGGCTCGGAGACCAGGAGTGGCCGGGTCCTGCAAAGTCCCCCCAGGGGCCAGGGGGGAGGCTCAGCCCTGCCCGGATGACCAGAACTCGGGCCCTGCTTCTCCTGTGGGAAACATGGACACTTGCAACAGGACTGCCCAGAGATGGATTGCAGCTTTGGGCACATTTGCACAGGGGAAAACCGTGCCCGGCCGCCGCAGGCCACCAAGGTCACCATGCCCATAGTTATCGGGGAATGCCTGACGCGGGCCCTGGTTGACTCTCGCTGTGGCCAGACCCTAGTCCGCCAAAGCCTAGGCCTCCAGGTGGACCCCCGCCTGGGAACCGTCCAGTTGCAGTGCATCCATAGCGACGTCCGACTAACCGTGGATGGGGGTCACGCGGATGATGGTGGTTGGCTTGGCCCCACGACTCACCTACCCCATGATCCTGGGATGGGATTGGCCAGAGATCCCTGGAGTCCTTTGTTCAAACTCTGAGGAAAGCCCCGACATCACCCCAGCATTGGAGGGGGACTGCCGCGGGGATCCCGCCAAGGAGGCAGAAGAACCGGACCCTATTAGACAGGAAGAAGCGCCCAAGGACCCCCTGCCAATGTCTGCTGATGACCCCAGGGTCGACACTGACTTCTGCCGGGATCAAAGGGGGGACCCTACCCTTAGTAGGGCATATGAGCAGCTGGTGGCTGTGGATGGCGCTCTGATTGATCCAGGCCGGGTCAAGGTCTGGCCCCAATTCTGAGCCAATAGTTCAATGTGAGCCCAGGCCCTAGGTCAGGGTGGGGCAGCAAACGAACAGTCAGGAGCTCAGGCTTCTTAGCGTCTGGTGTGAGGGGGAGACTGCCACCCGTTCCACTGTGTTCCAGCCCGAGGCCCTATCAGTGGCAGAAGACTCGCTGCTGTGTCAGTGAGGATCCTGACCGCAACACATTGACATTGGTTCTGGCCCTGCTGCGGGCAGGCCAGGGTCGGCTTCTCCCGGGCTACTTCTGGACTCCCCCCATAATGTACCTGGGTTTGGCCGGTGTCCTCGGCAGTTTTACAGTTAGGTCACTGAATGTACTTGTTGAACCGATCCTGTAGTCCCAAGATTTAGAGGGGCTCTTTACCTTACATTAAAAGCTATAAAAACAGGATTAAAAAGAAAATTTAGTAAGCACATAATAAAAAAAGTAAATAAATAAGCATTAAACAATATTAAAAACTAAGGCAAAACCTGTTTAGTAAGAGTAGTATATGCCTCGATAGCTTTCATCACCATGCATTTTTTGACAGGTTTCCATGCTCATATTGTTTTTTCTGGGGTTTTTACGGTTAAGGACATAGGGGTTTATTACTGGACGCCCAAAGATGATATATGATTGGCTGGTTTGGCAGTTGGCTGGAACTACAGGGGAAGCTGACCTTCATATAGGCGGTTATTATGTTTCATAAACTAGCGGTTTATCATGTTCTCATAAACAAGCAGCTATCATGTTTTTCATAAACAAGCAGTTATTATGTTGCTAAAGCCTTTTGCGTGGCTCCCTCCCCACTCCCTCCTCTGGTCATAGCCCATGACCGTATTTGGCAGGGGCCTGTACAGCTTAGTTTTGTTCAGGCCCTGGCCTGTACTGTTCTATGTAAAGACCGTCTGTATAGTCAGCTTCTGTCAGAGGGCCTGAATTTGGGCCTTCAGTGTTACTTTGGCTGCCATAAAGGCCACCCAGTTCTTTTTCCCCACAGTACGAAGGCAGGTCGGCCAGGTTTATTGTCGAAGAGAAACACAGTCTCCAGCTTTCCCTGGCAAACGAAGTCCAAGGTGCTGCTAAGGTGCGGCTAGCCAGTACTTATGTGCTCCCTGACAATGGACTCAGCTCAGTCAGTGGCGGGACTGCCCCCGAGGCTGGACAAAGATATCCACTCAGGGATGCATTCCTATACACAGATACAAACAAGTTACACATCACTCCTGACATATTGAGGTGCAACCCCTCTACGCAGCAAGGTACAACCCCTTTATGTAGTAAGGTGCCACCTCTCAACTTGTACATGTTGGTTTGAACAAAACAACTCTATCCATCATATTACCCTTTTGGCCCTGTCATTGGGATGGGTCAGCTTGTTCCTTGTGTGTGGAATGTACAAGTATGCGAATGGTCTGATATCTGGTGTCCAGTACCTTTTAGGTATGTCTCTTTTTGCAGCATCAGCCCTTTCCTTGCCAGCTTCTGTGAGCAGGGCCTGCCTCTGGTTCACAGCTTAACTTTGCTTTATGTTAGCAAAGTCTTGACCATTACTTTAGTTCAGGCCTTAGGCCTCATACCAGGCCTCTGATGCAAGGGTTTATGTCTCAGGGCCTCCTCTTACTACATGAGGCAACTGGCACAGCTCAGAAACTTTCAGGCTGGTTATCATAGCCTTTGGATTGGGCCAATCAGAGGTTGTTTTACAACCGTGTTATAAAATTTATTTTTCTGAACCAATTCTATAGGCCCAAGATTTTAAACAAGAGCCAACTCCTTTGTCTTTCCCCCCTCCTCCCTCCCGTACCTTTTAACTGCCTTATTTTTATCTAAAGAAACAAACCTAGTTTTTTTTTACAAAGGAGTTTTAATAAAACTTAAAACCATGAGCTTTTAGTAACAAACAATTTAAAAACATTTTTTTTTTAGGTTTTAGGCTAGCACTGGTTACTTTTTTTTTTTAGTAAGCCCAATATAAAACAACAGGCTTTGCAGCTGATAGCTGTGATTAGAAAGAAGACTGCTTTTTAACAAACACAAGATAGTTAAGTTTTGTAATGGAATAAAGCTTTGCATATTGACTTGAAAAGACACAGCCCTTTATTTACAGGGGTGTTTTAATAAAAGAAAGCAGGCAGAATTACCCCAGGTTTAAAACCCCAGGTTTTAGTAACAGACAGTTTCTATATTTTTTTATTTTGTTAACCACTGAATTAGAGAGAAGCTTGTTTTTTTCACTTGTTAACAAAAAGAGGTGAAAGTCTTGTAAAGGAATAAACACTTCTTTATTTAGCCCCATGTGCATAAGTGTTTTAATAAAATAGGGTTACCATACGTCCTCTTTTTCCCTGACATGTCCGGCTTTTCGGCAGTCAAACCCCCATCCGGGGGGAATTGCCAAAAAGCCGAACATGTCCGGGAAAATAGCGGCTCTGCTCCTCCCCGACTCTTCGGCTCTGTTTAAGAGCCGGGCTGCCCGAACGCTACCGGCTTCGGGCAGCCCCCACTGCCTCCAGACCCTGCGCCGCCGGAGCCCGGGAAGGGAAGTGCCCGGCTGGGGGCGCAGGGTCCGGAGGCACGGGGCTGCCTGAAGCCGGTAGCGCTGGGGCAGCCTGGCTCTTAAACAGAGCCTCCAGCGGCTGCGGCTCTGTGTAACTGACACAGTGTCAGTTACACAGAGCCAAAGAGGAGCAAAGCCTCCAGCTGCGGGGGCTCTGCTCCTCTTCGGCTCTGTGTAACTTATACAGTGTAAGTTACGCAGAGCCGCCGGAGCCCCGGAGGGGAAGTGCCCAGCTGGGGGCGCAGGGTCCGGAGGCATAGGGGCTGCCCAAAGCCCGAGCGCTACCGGCTTCACGGTTTGCTGGGCAGCCTCCAGACCCTGCGCCCCCGGCTGGGCGCTTCCCCTTCCGGGCTCCAGCTGCGCTGGGGAAGCGCCGGCCGGGGGCGCAGGGTCTGGGGGCTGCCCGGGAAACCGTGAAGCTGGTAGCACTGGGGCAGCCCTTTCCCCCTGGCTGGGAGTGGGAGGGAGGAGGGGGCGGAGTTAGGGTGGGGAAGGGGCGGAGTTGGGGCAGGGCTATGGGGTGGGGAAATGGGCGGGGCCAGGGCCCGTGGAGGGTCCTCTTTTTTTATTTATGAGATATGGTAACCCTACATAAAATGTAAATTTGCAAAACCAGTTTAGGTTTAAAAACCTGTTTATAAAAGTTTTTTTAGGTTTTAGGCTAATGTGGTTATTTTTTAGTAAGCACAGTGTGAAAACAGCAGGCTTTTGCAGCTGTTAGCAAAAACAGCCTCTGTGACCAAAGAAAAGAAGGCCATAGGCCTGCTTTTAAAACAAAATGATACCAAAAACTTGTACTAAAAAGAACAGTAACTTTAACTGTAAATAAGCTTACTATGTAAAATAAAAGTTTTTTTACCCTTAAAGCTAAGTTATGTAGCCTAGGATTTTCGCCCCCCCCCCCTTTTTTTA